GGCGCCGCGGACCCTCCCCGCGGGGCGCGCCGGCGTCCCGTTTGACAGCCGGGGAGACGAGGCCCGGGAGCGGGACTCGCCCAGGGTCACACGGCGGGCCGGGCGCGCGAGGCGCCGGCGCCGGCCCCGGCCCCGGCCCCGCCGCCCTCCCGCCCCGACGGCCCGCGCGGGCTGCCCGTCGCGCGTGGGGCGCGCCGCGGCCGGCCTTCTCCGCGGGTGGCGAGCCGGCGGGACCCCCACCCGCCCGCGGCCTGGAATGCCGCCTTCACAGCCGCGTTCCTTTGGGCGAAGGTCTGATTCCCCCGTGGGATGCACATGTCTCCAGAGCCGGGCTGGCCCCTGGTGATTCACTGCCGGGCAGGAACGTCCGCCGCGCCCCCGGGACCCCCCTCTGCCCTCCGTCGGCTGGAGGAGAGACCCGACCAGACCGTGAGTCCGCCACTCCCGGGCCTGCGTGCGAGGCGCTCGGCGGGGCTGTGGGGGAGATCTGGGCCCTGTGGAGGGGACGCCCTTGACCTGGAGGCAGACGGACTGGGCTCTGACCCTGGCCCTGCTCTTTGCGGGCGGTGGGACTCCGAGTCCCCGTCCGAGCCTCCTTGACGTCATGGGCAAAACGGGACAGTTCTGTAGGAGACAGTTGGCCCATCCTGTGGTGGAGAGGACACAGCACTCGGGTCATGTGGACCTGGGTGAGTCCCTGCCCCAAAGCACTTGTGAGCTGTGTAAGGCTCAGGGTAAGTCACTTCACCTTTCCGAACCTCAGTTTTCTCGTCTGGAAAATGGGTGTTGCAGTAACTGCCTCAAGGGTTGCTGGTGAGACTTAAAGGAGATGATATAGTTCAAGTAATTGGAAGAATGTCTAACATCCTTAAATAGTAGGAGTGGGCTTCTTATGATAGTAGTCACTGACCACACCTCACCCTCATTTCTGTCTCTCTCTGTCTCTTTCTCTCTCACGCACACACAGTCACACACCCCCCGATGTTCTTGGTGCTTCTCTGAGTCAGAGTTCTGAGATGTCTCCTGCCTCCTCTTGCCCTGGACACTTGTCTGCAGGCGTGGGGCCTTCTCCCTCAGCGTACTATGTCATCTGGGATGCCCAGCCCTATGGGTCATGTCCCAGCTGGAAAGGACAATAAGTCTCCAGGGCCATTCACAGCCACTCTCCACCTGGTCATCACAATGGCTGGGGGAGGGAGTCAGTGGCAGAACAGCACCCAGCTGCTTGCCCTTAGATGGGACACTGAGGCACTGGGAGGTAAGGGATTGCCCCAGGGAGCAGCGTCGGTGAACAGTGGAATTTGGGTGCCAGCCTGGGTCTGAGTGCCCGCAGTCCTGCCTTTGGAGAGGGAGGAGCCCTTAAATGCTACCCACTGTGTCTTGGGCCTGCCAGGGGGTGCCCACAGCTCAGGGGCCCCTTCCCGTCAGCTGCCAGGGCAGAGTTCTCATGTGCTGCAGGGACGGTCCTTTCTGGATGTGCAGATGGCCACCTCGGGGGTAGGGTGGGATTTGGAAGAGGAAGGGGAAATGGGGCCCCTGCGGCATCTCTGCCTCGAGGCCCAGAGCTAAACTAGGCCCCTTCTTCGCCCTCATCTGGCATGTACCTCTCAGTCCAGGGCAGCTGAGCTTCTGCCCCTTGCTACTTTTTCCACCAGGTCTTCAGTGAGCACCTACTTAGTTCGGTTGTGCTGAAATAACTGAACAAGAATGCTTGATGTGTGGGAAACATGAACACGTGGGGGCTGGGAAAAAGCATTCCAGGCAGAGGGAACAGCAAGGGCGAAGACCCTGTGGCAGGAATGGACTTGCCATGTCTGAGGAACAGTGAGAAAGCTGAATTTGGTAAGGGAAGGGGACATGTCAATGGTGTCAGGGAGGAGGTTGTCTAAAGCCTGGATTTTTACTGGAGATTTTCAAACAGTTGTGATTCATGATCTAATATGTGATTTTAAATACCACTCTGGTTGCTCCGTAGAGGACAGATCATAAGAGGTCAGGATAGACGCAAAGAAACAAGCAATTGAGGCACCCTTTCTGGAGTCAAGGCCCAGGGTTGTTGGGTGGTGTCTCTGTCTGTGGCTGTGACAGAGGAGAGAGGTGGGCAGATCCGGGTCTGTTTTTCAGGGAGAGCGATCGGAACCGCCGGTCAGGGAAGACTGTGGCAGGGAGGTGATGGTTGAGTCAAGAGAAGTACTCCGCCAGTGTCACCGTGTCACTGAGACCCCTCGTCCTCTGTGCTGTCCCTGGCCTGTTGTGTGTTCGGATGGGTCTCAGAGGAGAGGGAGGCCCGTCAGCTCCGGGAGCACTTCTGAGAGGAGCTGGCCGGGCAAGCCCACTGCGGAGCGCTCGGCGCTGTGCTCACCGGGAGCTCAGGGGTGCTGGGAGGACTGGAGGATCTAGCTCAGACTGGCAGAGCCAGAAAAGGCTCCTGGGAGGAGGTGACATCCAAGTGAGGGCAGAAGGATGAGGAGGTATTCCACAGAAGAGGGAAAGGGAGGAGGTGAAGGTTGAGGAAGGGAGAAGGCGCTCAGGGCTCAGAGAATCCAGTGTGCAGGTGGGACAGTGAGAGAGGAGGCAGGAGAGAAGAGCTGGCCTGAGGGCCCTGCAGAGGGGTACTCACACAGTCTGAGCAAGCCAGCTCTCAGCAGGATGGGTGACGTCTCGCTTCTTAAACAGTAGATCACAGTTTCCGGTGAAAGCACAAGGTGAGTGCAGGGCAGCTGGGGGTCGGCGGTGGCAGGTGGGCAGGGGCCTGTGGCTCTGAGGGATTCACAGGTAGGCTGTGGTCTTATGTCTTCAGGCAAGGAAGGACCTCAGGGCAGCCATCTTCATTCAAAATCTGTTGCCAGTGAGTTCTAACAGTCACTGCCCTCAAAGCCAGCAAATGCCTGTTCTCCTAAAGCATCCTTCAGAGTCACAGTTCAGCACTCATTGATTGAGCACCTGCTGTGGGAGACCTTACAGCGTAGAGGTCAAGGGCATGGACCCAGGAGCCAGACTTGCCTGGGCCTGCCACTGGTTAGCTGTGTGACCTTGAGAGTGTTACTTAACCTCTCTGAACCTCAGTTTTCCCCTCTGTAAAATGATAATGGAATCAAGTCATTGAATGACGGTGAAGATTAAATGAGTGAATTCTGTAAAGTGTGGAGGAGAAGGGCCTAGTGCCCCTAAGGGGGGACTCTGTGACGGCACTTCCCAAGAGTACATGTCCTTTGGTCCTCAGCAAGACTTAGCATGGCTGGCATGAACCTCGGATGAGGAAACTGAGGCTCAGAGAGGTGAAGTGACTTGTTTAAGGTCACATAGCAGGTAAGTAGAGGGGACAAGCGGGAGCAGTCAGATGTGGGTGACTGAATCCAGTGCTCTGGGAGAGTTTGATATGTCCCTTCTTATGAACTCTCCTGTCCATATTCTCATCACTTCCTTTTGTGTGTGTGTGTGTGTGTGTGTGTGTGTGTGTGTGTGTTCCCAGTTCTCAGCACAGAGCAGGACATGAGGAGGCATTCAATAAAGGAATGAATGAATGAAGTTGATGGGTGAATTTGTACACCCCTAGCACTTGGCTCTGGTTCCCAGGGAGGGAGTGAGCGAGCCCCCAGGAGCACCAGGATCCCACCCTGCTGAGGGCCTCTGTGGTACCCCCAACCCCACCTCAGCTGCTCACATCGAAGGGGCAGCCCAGCAGGCATGGCTTCAGTGAAAGTCCAGGGCCTGGCAGCGGGCTCCTGGGGAAGTCCACAGAACAGTGCTGGGCAGGCAGGCCTCCTGCAGGGCTTCCTGTCGAGGCCCGGGCTCAGCCCTTGAACAATGGCAGGGGCTCGAGAATCAGAGAATCAAAGAAAAAGGGCAGAGTAGAAAGGGGGTGGAGGACGAGGAATTCCACGTGGGCTGGAGCCGGGCGGAGGGGCCGCTGTGGCCTGGGTGGAAATGGAGTCGGTCCTTCTGCCCCACTCCAGCCCTGAGTGTGGCCCAGGGCCACCCCTCGGGTCCCTCTGCCTCCTGAGCCTCCCCTCCAGGCTGTCTTCCACCAGGTGGCTCTCGTTCCTTGGGGTGATGGCCTGGTTCCTCGGTGGCATGGGGGCCCTCTGGGCGGGGCCACCTGTTCCCACCTGCTCCCACCCACTCCCTGCCCCGGTCCAGCCCCTGTGTTCCTGCTCTAGCTCTGCCTGGTCTGGGATTCCCCAAGGGCAGGCATAGGCAGGGTGGGGGCGGGGGGCTCTCCGTGGGAAAGAGCCGGTGGTCTTACCATGTTTCCCTTTCCTCCCTGCCCTGCAGAGCCATGAGCCACCAGATCCTTCTGCTCCTGACCGTGCTGACCCCAGGCCTGGCTGCCTCCCAAAACCAAGACAAAGTGCCCTGTAAGATGGTAAGAGGCTCTGACCAGCAGGGGAAGGGCCAGCCCCGCCTCCCTGCCCCAGGGGGTCCTACGGCCCCCCTCCCCCCCCAAAGTTTAGAAGAGTCAGGCGGGACAGGGAATGGGCCCTGCATTTAATGAACACCCCCTAGAATATTTAAATACCTTGTTTACTCAACAATCTTGCCAGGTAAGCACATTACTCCTGTTTTACAAAGGAGGAAACTGAGGCTTGGAGAGGTGGTGACTTGTCATTCAGGGCCAATATTATGCTCTGTTTGCCTATGCCATCTCCACGGGACAGTGGGCTCAGCTGGGGATCTTAGAATGGCTCTTTGTGAGGGGGATTTGGGGTGGGACAACTGGGAGATCTGTGCTGGTCCCTCCTAGGGTCAAATCCTCTTCCCTAACTGGGCTCCTTGATTTGGGCCTGCCTGCTGAGATCCCTGTCACTCATTACTGCCCAGGTCAAATGCTGCCTCCTCCAGGAGGCCTCCCCAACCTCACCAGGCTGACCTAGTCTGAGCGCTCCCTCTTCTAAGCGCCTGCATCCTCCAAGCTTCCGTCTGTCTCAACACTGAGCATACTGAGCACATGGGGCTGGTGAATGGGTCCAAACTTGTCTCACCTGCCAAACCAAGAACTTCTCTATGGCAAAGGCCAGGTTTAATGTGCTTTTGTTTTTCCTTTTTCTTGCCCCAAGCCAGGGAAACTAGCCCTAAAGTTCCCGTGACCCTGTGAGGTCCAAGAGACCACCTAGATGTACATGTCAGAAGGGGTAGTCCTTGGGGTCAAGGCCAGACCCGACAGGGGCAAGGGCAGGTCTGCCAGCAGCCCCACTTGGACCTGGGGCTCAAGGCTTAGGACAGAATAGGAGCTGTCTCAGGAGCCAGAAGTGCTGGCAGTCGCCTGCACGCAGCCCCGCTGGGCTGTGCAGTGTCTGCCGCTGCCACCACCCTTCTTGCCTCTCAGCGTCCTTCTAAGGGTCCCAGAACTCAGAATAACAGGCAGAGAAGGCCCCAGATATCTCCAAATCCAGACACACATTCTACCTTGGGGAGACTGAGGTTCAAAGGAAGGGCCTTGGCCACCTGACGGGCAGAGGAGACACCGGGTGGCTTTGGATTCTGGGGAAATGAGATAATAGCTAGGGAAGCACTTTCTGAACCAGCATAAAGGATAAAACCCACAGGAGCTAGAGAAATGGCGTGTGACCCCCAGGGCCCTACAGAGAGGAAGGAGACACAGCCAGGACTTGAACGCAGCTCTCCCTTATGCTGGTGCCTCTCCCTACCCTGGCTCCTTCCGGTGGGCAGGTGGCAAAATGGAGTTGGATGGCAAGTCCTCTTTGCTCCTGAAAGGGAAGTAGGGCAGGGGCATTCTCATATCCTAGAAAGAGTAGGTAGAAACTCTCAAGTCTGGCTAAGGGCTGATTTCCCCAAGATCTCCACCCCCCACCCCCCCACAAGCCAGTCAGTGCTGAGAGCTCAAAGCTGAGGGAGGCCCTGGAAAGGGAGTTCTGAGCACCACCCTGACCCTCAACCTCCTTCCTGGACTGGACGGGAGAGCCAGGCATCCCACTGCCACGCTGCCCAGGGGCCAGGGCTCCGGGCTTTGCCAGCTTTGTGTCCTGGCTCAGTGCTCACGTGCCCCAGGGAGCCTTTGCCTCTCTAGAGGTGGTATGCTTCTGGATTTGCATTTGGGGTAACATGTGAGGCACAGCACAGTGCCCTCCGTGTCACACAGGCTCAGGAAACAGTGCCTGGCATGCCTGGGCTGAAAGAACCCACCTGGATGCTTGGCCAGCGGGGGCCCAGCACTCAGAACTCGGCCAGCACCAATAGGAAAGGGAACGAATGCGTAGAGGGTCGTGTTGAGTTCCTAACTCTCTGATTTGGGGCAGCCCAGCCCCCTCAGCCCCCATTTCCTTAGGGGGCACCACGGGGAGGGGGTCAGCGATGCCTGGGAAGATAAACGAAGTGAGAGATCTCAGCATGAAGCACGAAGCCTGGTACTAGCTGGCATTCCATGACAGTGGTGCCATTGCATTCGTTCTGTTGTTTCTTCTTTAAGTCGGGAATGCCCAGGACGTGAGGGCAGTGGGGAGGAGGTGAAGTTAGCAGTCCCAGCAGTCAGAGAGGTTATGAGAGAGGAAGGGGCAGGACTGGCGAGGTGGCCAGGTGGCTGGTTCACATGTGTGCCCAACTGCCAGCCTCTCCCTGGGTCCCTGAGGCTGCCTCCACTGGAGGTGGTGAGGCCAGTCACTGTACCTCGTGGAGTAGGAAGGCTTGCAAGGATGCCTGAGGCTGGGCAGGTCTGTTCCTCCACCCTGCTCACCCTGGGGCTCCGGGAGGAACACAGAGCTGGGCCAGGCCCGGGACGTCCAGACCTGTGTCCCTTCCCTGCTGGCCTAGTCACTGGCTCACTGTGACCTTGTACAAGTCCCTGCCATCTTCAGGCCTCAGTCTTTCCATCTGGGAAGTGGGTGCTTGAAGGGTCTTTGACTCTAATCTGAATATGTAGATATTTTCTCTTCTCAGAGAGGTGATAGAGTCAGTGTCCATACCTTTACGAAGCTGGTGATGTCTGACTCTCATTCATTAGGAAAAATTGCTGAGCACTTTCTGTGGGTCATGTCAAAGTGTCCACGCTAATCAAACTGGTCTCTGCTTGCTTTGGACTCACTGGTAGGTCCCCACACAGTCACAGTTCAGGGGGCCAAAGCTGTGAGAGGAAGTGCAGTCAGGGAAGACTTCCTGGTGGAAGAGACCCTGGAGCTCAGTATGATGTGTTCACCATGCAGATCTGGTCAGGAATGGCCTAATCAGCACAGGGAGGAGACCCAGCGGTGGGTGTGGGAGGGCGTGATGAGCCATGGTCAGGTGTGGTCACTGCGTGTGGGCTGGGGAGGGGTGAGTTGAGAGAGGAGGGGACAGGTTGGCAGGGGCCACAGACAGCCTTGAGCACCCTCCAAAGGGTTCTGGACTTTGCCCTGGAGGGGTTTAAGCAGAGGGGCAACACAGTCAGAGTGACATTTTTGAGCAGTTGTCAGGCATGTGGCAGGTGGATGGGTCAGATGAGGCCAGTGGAGACAGAGGCTGGGGCAGGAGCGGGTCCTAGCCGGGTGGCTGTGGAAGTCAGATCCTCAGCTGGGAAAGGCTGGAGCTCCTGGGGACTGGAAGAGAGCAAAGGCGGACCTGCATTTGCACAGAAAGAATGCTGGCCCCGGAAGGCACATCGGGGAAGGACAAGATCGGGGCCTCTGCTTGCCAAAAGACCTGGGTTCAAATCCCAGATATGCTCCTCACCAACTGGGAGAGCCTGGAGCCTCCCTTCCCCTCCGTAAGCCCAGGTTTCTGCAATAGGGGTGATCATATCAGTCGAGTGGCTGCTGCCAGGAGCTTGTGAGACCAGGGCCTGGCAGTGTTTAGTCAAAGGTAGAGTGTTGAGTAGGTTCCAGGGCAGGAGGAGTTCCTTTCTGGGTGAGAAACCAGAATAGTAATGGGACTCCGTGGAGGCCACACAGCACGAGCACATTCTTGAACTGGGGACTCTGGGTTGGACCCTAGCTATCTTTTCCGCCGCCCCTGGGGGCCGATGCTGGACACTCCCTGTGGGGGGCGGCAGGTAACAGCAGCAGAAAGGAGGCCACCTCTGGGGAGCATCCTTGAGAAAGCAGGCTCTGGGACTCAGGCTCCACCCGACAGAATGAGAGCTTGAACTGAGAGATCTGAGACAGGCAGCCAGGATAAAAACTGATACACAGCACAAGTTACAGTTTTCACTCTCGGAGACAGTGCTCCCAATGTGGGTTCCCGCCTAGCACTGGGAGTGTAACCCTCGGTGCCCATAAAAGGGACTCAGGAGCGCTGGGTTTCAGCACTGCCACTCCCAGGCTCAGGGTCCCTATATGTGTGTGCTCTATAGCTGGGTTTCCTTCACATGCGGAGGTAATCGGTACAGGATTTGTCTTCATTAGTTCATTTGCCCCTATGTCTGTCTGTCATCTCTCCATCTGTCTACCCATCGAAACTTCATTGAGTCTCACTCCCCGCCTTTTGCCCAGCGCTGCCTAGATGGGGCAGGGAGACAGACAGGGACATCCAGACATGGGGTGGAGCGCAGTCGAGCATTCTGGGAGTCTGTAGGGGAAGGCCCCCCAAGCCTGGCAGGGTCTAGCCGTCCTTCCTAGAGAAGCGTGTCTGTTTCCATCCCCGACTGCACCCATTCGTGCCAGCCGCTCTCCCTACCCGCCCGCTCCACAGGTGGACAAGGAGGTCTCGTGCCAGGGCCTGGGCCTGCTCCAGGTCCCCTCGGTACTCCCGCTGGACACTGAGGCCCTCGATCTCTCTGGGAACCAGCTGCAGAGCGTCCTGACCTCGCCCCTGGGCTCCTACACGGCCCTTCGCCGGCTGGACCTGAACACCAACGAGATCAACTTCCTCCAGCCAGGGGTCTTCCAGGCCCTGCCCCACCTGGAGCATCTCAGCCTGGCCCACAACCGCCTGGCGATGGGCCCGGCGCCCAGTGCCGGCGGGCTGGGCCCCCTGCCGCACATGGTCTCCCTGGACCTGTCCGGGAACAGCCTGTACAGCGGCCTGGTGGAACGGCTGCTGGGGGAGGCGCCCGGCCTGCGCAGCCTCTCGCTGGCGGAGAACAGCCTGACGCGCCTCACCCGCCACACCTTCCGGGGCGCGCCTGCGCTGGAGCGGCTGGACCTGCACAGCAACGTGCTCATGGACATCGAGGACGGCGCATTCGAGGCCCTGCCCCGCCTGACCCTCCTCAATCTCTCCAGGAACTCCCTCACCTGCATCTCAGACTTCAGCCTGCCGCAGCTGCGGGTGCTAGACCTGAGCTGCAACAGCATCGAAGCCTTCCAGACGGCCCTTGAGCCCCAGGCCGAATACCAGCTGGCCTGGCTCGACCTGCGGGAGAACAAGCTGCTCCGCTTCCCTGATCTGGCCGCGCTCCCCAGGCTCGTCTACCTGAACGTGTCCAACAACCTCATCCGGCTGCCCGCGGGGCCCCTCCAGGGTGCCGAGGGCATCCACGCACCCTCTGAAGGATGGTCGGCCCTGCCCCTCCCAAGCCCCAGCAGGAACTCCAGCACCCAACCCCTGTCCCAGCTCTTGACCCTGGATCTGAGCTACAACGAGATCGAGCTGGTCCCCGATGGCTTTCTGGGGCACCTGGCCTCCCTGCGCGTCCTGAACCTCAGCCGAAACTGCCTGCGGGCCTTCAAGGCCCGGCACGCGGGCTCCCTGCCCTGCCTGGTGCTCCTGGACTTAAGCCACAATGCCCTGGAGGCCCTGGAACTGGGCCCCGGGGCCCTGGGGTCCCTGCGGACGCTGTTCCTGCAGGGCAATGCCCTGCGGGACCTGCCCCCACACACCTTCTCCAGCCTGGCCAGCCTGCAGAGGCTCAACCTGCAGGGGAACCAGGTCAGCCCCTGCGAGGCGCCCGGCGAGCCTGGCCCCTCCGGTTGTGTGGCCTTCTCTGGCATCTCCTCCCTTCGCGTCCTCAGCCTGGTGGACAATAAGCTGGAGATGCTAGGGGCAGGCGCCTTCCTCCACACCCCGCTGACCGAGCTGGACCTCTCTGCCAACCCCGGGCTGGATGTGGCCACGGGGGCCCTGGCAGGCCTGGAGTCCTCCTTGGAGGTCCTGGCACTGCAGGGTAATGGGCTGGCGGTCCTGCAGGTGGACCTGCCCTGCTTCAGCTGCCTTAAGCGGCTCAATCTGGCGGAGAACCGCCTCAGCCACCTGCCTGCCTGGACGCAGGCCGTGTCCCTGGAGGTGCTGGACCTGCGGAACAACAGCTTCAGCCTCCTGCCGGGCAGTGCCATGGGCGGCTTGGAGCCCAGCCTCCGGCGCCTCTACCTGCAGGGGAACCCGCTCAGCTGCTGCGGCAACGGCTGGCTGGCGGCCCAGCTGCACCGGGGCCGTGTGGACGTGGACGCCACCCAGGACCTGATCTGCCGCTTTGGCTCCCAGGAGGAGGTGGCCCTGAGCCACGTGCGTCCCGAGGACTGTGAGAAGGGGGGGCTCAAGAATGTCAACCTCATCATCATCCTCGCCTTCACCCTGGTCTTTGCCATCCTCCTCACCACGCTGGCCACCTGTTGCTGTATCCGCCGGCAGAAGTTTAACCAACAGTATAAAGCCTAGAGAAGCTGGGAGATGCTCTCAGGGCAGTGGAAGAAGGGCGGGGACTGGCTCAAGGTCACACAAGGAGCCAGGGTCCAAGAACCCTCGTCTCTACTTCCCAGCGCTCCTGTCTCTGTATCCTGCTGCACCAGTAGGTGACCACTTCTGGGCTGTCCTTGGGGTCCAGCTGCTGAAGCCGGAAGTTGGCAGTTTCGAGGGCAGCAGAGTGTCTGCTTTGTGCCACCCACTGTTCCGGGCACAGGAGACGCTAAAGAGAGCCACATTCCTGCCCTCAAGATCCTCCCAGTCTGGGAGGAGAGGCTGCTGCTGAGCTGTGCAGTGAGCACACAGTGTGACCAGGGCGTAGGGTTGTGGAGCCCAGGGCTACAGAACCCTCAGCCTCAGATGGCTCAGTGTGTGTGGAGAGTCTTGCCCCCATGCCAGGGCAGGGGAGGGCCACGCCCAAGAGGATTTGTCCGAGATGTTTCTAAGCAGACTATCACATCTTCCGATAATGATTTCCAGCCTCCTTGAAAATGCAGAGCTTGTGACCGGAAGTGAGAAGCGGAGCCGCGTGAGTGTGTTTTGGATCCAGCACTGGGGGACGGGTGGCGGCAGCTCCAGCAGGGTCTGGTTAAGAGGTCGCCACCCAGGCCTGTGGCCCCACACAGGACCATTCCATCTCCCTCTCTGGCCAGGCTCTTTCCCTACCTGGCACTCTCATGTTGCACACACACCCTGGCCCCCAGGCTGCCCTAACCCTTTCCTGCCCGGTCCCCTTCAACTTCCACCCTGGCTGCTGAGCCAGGGCCTTGAGCCTTAGAGGTCGGGTTCTGTTTTGCACCCGACTTGGCCGCTGTCATTGCAAATCCAGGCCTTGTGCCTGCCTCTATATGAAAAGACTCTCAGAGTTTAGTACTTTACAAAACTGGGAGCTCCAAAAGTCTGCCTCCAAGGCCCCACAGCTAATAAGTGCCATAGCTGAGGCTCAGACCCACTGCCTTCTGTCTCCTGCAGGGGCTGTGGACTATTGGGGGGACAGGGCCCCACGTGGTCCAAACAGGGCCCGGGAGCAGCCTGGCTGTGCATACCTGCTCTCTCTGTCTTCCAGGCAGGCAGAGAGAAGACAGGCAGCTGCAGACCCTCTCCTCCTTCCCTGCCTCAGATTCCCTCATTCCCTCCTTTGCAGACTGGTATGATCTCCTTCTCTTCTTGCTCTTGCCTTCTCTCACTCCTTCTCCCTCCATTGAGCATCGCCTGGAGTTGGAGATCATGGAGTCCAGCCTCCCCATTGCACAGATAGGGAAACTGAGGCTTAGGAAGAGCATGGAACTTGCTCAGAGCTGCACAAGTCAGTGGCAGAGCCTGTGGAAAGAAAGAAATTCAGATCTTATCTGGGGAGTGAGATGGGGGACTGGACCTGAGGGGCGTCCTCTTAGCTGCCACATCACAAGAGAACGCCAGCCCCAGACTTTTTGTCCGCATCAAGCATGGGATTTTTTTTTCCCTCTAAAAATACAGATGGAAAGACCCACCCAGCTAACCCCCTGCCCCTCATGCCATGGAGTCATGAGCTGTCTGGAAAGAAAGGAAGCCCTGGGACCATCCCAAGACCCTGTGTTATTGTCATCATCTTACTTGTGCTTGGCCTGCAGTCTGGCTCCGTCATGTATGACAAAATGAATGTGCCACGCTCCACCTCATTCTACAGACGAGAAAACTGAGGCCCAGAGGGACTTACGGGAGAGCCAACGGGCAGAGCCAGGGCCGGGTCCTGGTGGTGTGTGGGGCAGCTGGGCGGACCCAGTCCCGGGTGGGATCGCGACCACAGGTGCGACTGCACACAACACTTCCTCAGGCCTGGGGGCCAAGGTGTCGGCCCCCATGCGGGATCTTTGAAACACTACACAATGCTGCTGTCACTCCCGGGAGCCAGGCCTCGGGCCCACCCTTTGTATAACCCACCTGAATGTATTAAAAAATAATTTTGAAGAAACAGTGCTGCTCACCAGCCTCCTTTTTGCCACAGGCAACCAGCTTCGTTATATCTGCTTGAACCCTGCCCTCCTCTACTCCCAGCGGGGTCTTTCATCCTCATGGTGAGCCCCTGGGGACCCCAAGACTCCGGGTCATGACCACCCTAGACCTTGGGGCCTCAGCCACCAGCACAGGCCCTGCCATGCCTCCGTCCCTTCTTACTCAACAGACAAGCCTGCTCCCCACCTCAGCGCTGAGAGGCTGCCGGCTGGCCTGGGTTTCCTCCTTCCCTGCTCTTCTCTGTGCTCGGCCCTCTCTGCCCCATCCCAGAGGCAGCACTCCTCCCCCTTGGGCTTCTCATGCTTGTCCTCTCTCCTTTGCTCCCTCTCTCTCCAACTCTATTTCCAGCCTCTCTCTGTCTGACTTCCGTTGGCCTCAAGACTTGCCCATCTTAAATAAACAGTAAGAAGCCCCTCAACCACTTTCTCCTCCTGCTCCTACGCCTCTCAGGCCAACTTCTTGTGTAAAGGAATTTCCCCCCCACCCCTTCCATTCTCAACCTGCCCCGAGCTGCCTCCAGCTGCTCCCAGCCCAGCTGCCCTTGCTAAGGGCTCCGACGTGTCCTTTGCCAGACTCAGCACACCTTTCAGACCTCATCTCCCTGAGTCTGGGCAGCAGGCCCCCTCACCCACACCCCACTGGGCAGCAGGCCTCTCACCCATGCCACCCCCCAGGCAGACTTCCCTGCAGCTGTGCCCCCCCCAGTTGTCCCCTCCCTCCCAGGCCACCCCTTTTGGGGCTCTTCTGTGCTTCTCCCTGCAATGGTGATCACTAGGAAGCCGTCCTAGGCCTTCTTCCCTCAGGAACACCATGGCCCTCACTGCTGTGGCCACCTCATGGCTCTGATGATGAGGCCACATCTCTGTCCCAGCCCCAGCCTCCTGAGTGTCTAACCAGGCTACCCAGAGGCCTCCCCAGCTAGAGGGCTAAAGGTTCTTGAAGGCTGGAGAATTCAGTTAGTGATCAGCCAGGCTTTAGACCGAGGCTGACCTAGGAGACCAGTCCTGGTTCCTGGATGGAGTTGGAGGGTGAACATGGGGCTGGGGGATGGGAGAAGACAAGCCACCTTGCCTGGGTGGGGTGTGAAAAAGCGAGACCCAAGAGACCAGAGAGGCCGGCAGAGTCTGGAGAATAAGGCATGGTCCCCACCTCCCTCCTACTGTCCCGTCTCGGCAGCCTGACACCCAGATGCTGTCGCCTTTGCGGGTGCCACCCTTCCCCTCCCAGCTGCCTCTCCCCCAGCTCTGGCTCAGTGCTGCTTCTCCTCCCCCAGCACCCTGGACCCCCTCCTGTCGTCTTGGCAGCTCCTGAGCCCAGTGCTGGCAGCTCTGTCCCTAGAGCTCTGTCCTCCACCCAGCTTCTTTTCTGGTCTGTGCCCTCTCACCTCACCATTCCTGCTCCTGGCTCCTACTCTCCAATAGGAAATGTCATGGGATGGGGCTGGGGGTGGGAGGCTGTGACTCCACCTCCCCCCCCCACACACAGATGTTTAGAGAAGGCCTGTGGGGGAAGGTGGTAGCAGTAGCAAGGGCTGAGCTGAGCCCAGAGGCTGCAGGCCTCCAATCCAACCAGAGCCCACCAGGCCCCTGACCCCTTTTCCTGACAAACAGGGGAGTTTTCTCACCTGGCCAAGACCCCCAGCGAGGCAGAAATTCCTGTTTTCAGCCAAACATGGACTTGGCTGCCAACTAGGTCATCAGAGCATCCGGCTTCCCGAGCTCTTGGTAAGCTCCAGGGAGTGGGAGGCCCTGGCTGTCCCCATGCCACAGTTGGCCTGAGTTGCCAGGGTCCAGCTCCCTCAGCTCTGTGAGCTGGTGCAGTTCTCCACCAGGGCAGGGCCTGGGACCCCCCTCCAGCTCCTCAACTTCGAAGGCCCTCTGTGCTGGCCATGTCCCCAGGATCTGGGACCCACTGTCTGCATTCTGTGCCCTTGTCCTTTGGGCCCAGGAGGCTCTTCTCTCTCTCTCTCTCTCTCTCCACCTCCCACAACATGCTTCGAGTGTCCATTGTTGAGGACTCCTAGGTAGGCCTGTGCTGAGCCCTGGATGCACATTGTCATGTTTAATTCTAACAATCTTCAAAGAGATTTCTACTGTTATCACCCTCTTAGAGAAACTGAGACTCCAGCACTGAGACTTGAACCTGGGTTTGTCCTGCTCCATAGCCAGCAATGCTAACCATTCCTCACCAGGCTCCCTCTATCTCCTCTACCTAAGACGTCTTACCCTCCTGGACCCACCTACATACTCTTCTTTTTTTATTTTTATTTTTACTTTTGAGTCAGAGTCTCACTCTGTTGCCCAGGCTGGAGTACAGTGGCATGCTTATGGCCACCGCACCCTCAACCTGCTGGGTTCAGGAGATCCTTCTGAGTACCACAGGTGTGTGCCACCATGCCCGGCTAATTTTAGTTATTTATTTATTGTAGAGATGAGGTCTCGCCAAGTTGCCCGGGCTGGTCTCCAACCCCTGGGCTCAGGCAATCCTCTTGCCTCTGCCTCCCAAGGTGCTGAGATGACAGGCATGAGCCACCGCCTTGCCCCTACTCTCCTTCTACAACCCTTTCCCCATCACCTCCTCTGGAAAGACTGTCTGAATTTCCCTCCTCCCGCTGCCCAAAGCCCTGGGCTGCCCTTAGCCATAGCACCTGGTGTCTGCCTGACCCACCACCAGGCCAAGAGCTCTTGGGGGGAGGTCCTATCCAGTGTCCTCTCTGTCCTCAGCACAAATAGAGTAAGCTCAGAAAAGTTTCCCTGAGTGAATGACTGTGCCCTCTAGGATTTATAAGCTTGTGGGACAAAGACAAACCTTCAGACAGAGAATGAGGTGACGAGGCTTTTCTCACAGGCCCAGAGGACACAGAGGGGGATGCAGGATGTGGGCTGCCCATAGCAGCAGTGGCCAGCGGGGAGGCCAAAAAGAATCCTCTGTGCCCAGCCTCCGTTTCCCTCCAGCTTCCTCTTGCCCCTGGGACCCTGCCTTATCTTAGTCCTCTCCTCTCCACCCCACACTTCTCTTCTTGGTCGTCTCCCCCGCCCTCACCCCCTATCTCACTGGAAACTGTTGAGCTGTGGTGGCCGAGAATGGGGAGGGTGGAGGGCCGGGAGGCTGGCTGTTTATAGGAACTGGAGCCTCCATCCATCAGCTCTGTTTGGAGCCAGAGACCAAGCATAATAAATACCTTGGCTCC